AATAATTTGATGAACAGTTTTTAATACATTCACTGTTGTGACCCCAATGTGGGGGCAATGTTACCATTCAAAGTTTGCAGCCCTCGCTTCCTTTCCAAAGAGGGCCCAGGAAAGACATTCCATCCAATTGAAGACCCCCTTTTTTGGGGGGAAGGCCCTAGAGGGAGTGTCCATCAGTGTAGGGAACTCCCTTCTCCCAAGCAGAAAAGTAACTCTTCTCTAACACACGCAGTCCTAGAGAACTGTGTGGGATACTCAGAGGCTAAATGACTTGCCCAGGGTCACACAGAAATCATTCACAAACGTATGCATAAGGCCTCCGAGTTCATACAAATAGAAGGTGCTATGCTAGGGATGTCAAAAAGGAACAAAGACACAGTCACTGCTCTCAAGGAGTTTACAATGAATCCAATGGGGAAAACTGAGTACCTCGACATAAAGGCAGAGAGCTGTAAATCAGGTGACAGGAGTCACAGATTGAACAAATTCCACTCCTGATCAGCCTCCCTCCTCTCAGGTCTGACCTCTCCCTACCGCCTCCCCCAAGAGGAAGGGGTGCTTACCCCACAAAATACTATCCACACAAAGAGCAGTAGTGAGTGCGATGCACGGTCCACGGAGGAGAGGAAAAGATCCTTCCTGAATGAAGGGGTCAGGGTCAGGAGGGGGTACAGAGCTGGGGTGCGGGGGAGAATGAACAGTACCAGCCGCAGCACAGAGGGCAGGAAAGTGAGGGATTCTACAGAGGCTGCAAAGCCGTCTTGTGAGGAGTGGGACTACAAGGTGAGTGGCAGCACCAAAATGCCACACCAAGCAGACAAGGAACAATTCTGAGCCCTGGGCTAACATGATCACATTGGTGTGAGTGGGGGAGGCAGCAGCACCTGACAGGAGCTGCTCCTGGGGTCGTCAGGTGAGGGGCAGGACGGCTTACAATAAGGCCACATGAGCAGCAATCCAAAGGAGCGGGTGGACACAACGAACGTGGCGGGAGCAGCCCTGAGCTTCTGCTGGAATGCTGCCTTGGTGCCTGCCTCGCTGGGAAAGGAGGCTGGGGGTCCCTTATCAAACCACGCTAGCAAGTGCCAGACCCTGGCAGAGCTCAACAACCATTAGCCTGAGGACAAGGTGAATACAGGCCATGTACAGGACCAGTCTAGCTATGCTGGAAGAGGGTCATCACCAGAGAGATGTCATATCAACTCATTAACTCTGGGGAGAGGACAATGTCAGTGACTGGGGTTGGCAAAGGATACAAACACACTGATAAAATGATCAGTACTTAGAATCTAAGTAAGTAAAAATCTACAGGTCTGGAAACTTATTCAATGTAGCAGGGTAAGGTAGAAGGAAGAAACCGTAACGAAGCCCGGTTTTGGGACATGGGAAAATGGTGGTTTCGCTGACTGAAACAGAGGTGTTTCAGAGAAGAGCAGATTTTATTTAAAACAGAAGAAAAATTCCATTTTGGACAACCTGAGTTTGAGCTGTCATTGGGTAACCAAAAGGAAATGTCCAGTAGGCAGGCAGTATGAAATGTGGGTCTGAAGATAGGAGTCTGAGAACTGTCCACCTAGACACCAAAGCTGACACTGTTGGGAATGGATGAGAAGGAGAACGCCAAAGGAAAGAGAAGGGAGAAAAAAAGAAGAGGGCTTCACGGCATGAAGCACTTGCAGAGTCAGGCTGAGGCGGAAGATAGCGACACTGCCACTCGGCATCAGAGAGGCAGAGGGAATGCTGGCTAAGAAACAGGAGAACTCCATCAGCCCAGACTTACCGCCACTGATTCAGGGACACAAAGGCCAAGCAAAGCACCTGCCACCCCAGAGCCACCGTCGGGCCCTTGTACTGGGGCCACCCTAGCACCCTGCCTGCACTCTCCTGCCTGGCTTCCTCTAACTCTTCAGGCTCCTGAGAGAAAGCTGCCCTAAGTGTCTGCATCTCTTCCAGCTGACGCATCTCACACGTCTTGCTACTCATTCTAAGGATCTCTCAGACCTGAGGAAAAAAGACACAAGTTAACTGTGTACTTAAGAAAGAGAGAGTGGGTAAATGGATGGGGATGGGGGGAGGTGAAGAGAACAGGGAAGGCCTCCTGCAGAAGGTGGGCTTTGAGCTGAGCCACGAAGGAAGCCAAGGAAGCAGGGAGATGCTAGATGAGGACGGAGAACTTTCTGGCAATGACAAGCAATGACAAAGTGTGGGTCAGTGTAGAATGGGGGTGGGCTGGTCCCAAACGTGACAGAGACGTCAACTCAACCCGCTCTGTGTAGGAACTGCATAGATCACCCTTGAAAGGCTCCTTGGAGCTCAGCACATGCAGGCTCTGTGAACTTAAAACTCTCTATTAGTCTGCAGAAACAGTAGATTAAACAAATTAACAGAATTCTTAAAACCACTAATTTAATTTGAAAGCTTTCTGATTTTGATGCTTTCTAGCATAATTCTTTCCAAAGTGTCAGCTCTGGTTTATTTTACCTAACATAAGGAGTTTAGAAATACACTTAATGATTTGTTCTTCCTCTGTAATTAGATCATGTGCTTAAAAATCTTTGTGTTACATTTGAACTCTAGGAACACAGTTTAAAGTTAATTATAAGGAAAATAAATTTCTTCCCATTTTGAAGCAAATATCCAATGAAGTAATATTGTATATGTAATTTTTTTCTCTCAAATTACTTTTATGCATCATAATCTGAGAACAGGAAATTAAGTTATAAATTACAATTTCAGTGTTTTGCAATTTAAATTTCCTTTACGTATCAAGTAATATTTTTGTTTCAGGGATGTTATACAATCCCAACGTTTTCCAATTTCATCCTACTCCCCAAACTGAGCAGTCCATTTTTGATGAGCTGAATTTTAAACATTAAAAAATTAAAAAACAAGTTAGCCAAACATTTTTCTGAAATCATATATGCACAGAGCCTTATTATTATTAATTTACAAAATATAGCATCTAATTGAATTAAATGTCTTCAACTGATGTATTCTCGAAGGGAGGACAAAGCTTTCTGATGGTTCCCAGACAGACAATTTGCTGATTCAGCCTCTTTACATACAATGGACACAATAAAGATGTCTGAGTTGACTGCTAAGGTCAGCTTGGGTTTTTTTCAAATCCCTCTGATGCTAAGTGCCTTATTATAAATTATCTGGCCTCCTCTCTTCTCCAAGTACTAGGAGGGCTAATTCTTTTGGAAATGTTTATGTTAAACATTTAAGGGTTAAAATATATATATATATATATATATATATATATATGTATATGGTAATCTAATAAATTATTCTGATTTCCTTTAACCATTATAACTCTTATTATGTATCAGGACAAGGTAAGCAGTACAATGTCAAACTTCTGTGGTTACATAAGAATTTCAATAAAATCTATTTACACAAACATCCCTTGCACCTAAGCAAAACTGGGATTTGTAAAAACTGGTTAAATAACAATAATAATAAGAGCTAACATTCAGCTAGTGGTTACCATGTGTCAGGCACTGTGCTAAGCACTTTACAATTATTTTCTCATTTGACCCTCACCACAACCCTGGGAGGTGGTTTTAAAAGAGTATTTGACAAAACTGGTTTGGAATTGAAGGAACTTCCTGAGTGAGATGGTGACATCTCCTGGTGACCTGCAGTAACTGCAGCACTGCTCCATTAGTCATGTCAACGCCAAAGATTCCCAGACCCATGGACCCTACAGATCAAAGGATCGTGGTGAGGTTCTCTACCGCACTGGCGGGTGCACCTCCTTCGTTCTCACAAAGGCCCGATGACACCACAAGGGGACGTCCTGACCGGCGCGTGAGGCAGAGCTACGCAAAGTCAACAGCCTCCCTCCCTCCTCCAGAGTCGTGCTGACCTGGACACACTAAGTGACCCAGGGCCTTCGGATGGGGCCCCATCAGGCCAGAGGACAGCAGCATGGACCTGGGCAAAGACCATTTTTCACTTTTGTCTTTGAATCCCCAGGACCTGGCCCAGGACTGGCCAGGGGACAAGTAGATCACAACCATGAAAATCTAGGCTGGACTATGGATATTGTGGGGTCACCCAGCCAGCAGGTGAGCAAATCAGGGCAAATGCTGCGGCTGCTGGGCCTACCCTGACTTCCTGAGGGGAATGAGATTTTATAATTCAGCACATGGCACTGAGATGGCTTGTGGGAAAGGAGGGTGTTCATGAGGAAAATTCTCCCGCTGTCCACCTTAAAATTCCAGGAGTCCTTCAATATGAAGAAGGCCTTAAGACTTAGATGGACCATTTTATTAATTTACAACAACATCTTTCTTGACTCTAAGAAGCCATCTGAATTGACGCAAGATGAAAGAGATGTACACAATACATACAATAAAACACTACTAAATGGAAAGAACAGCAAAAACAAGGAAGCCAGATGCTGCTGACGACCGACCCGCACCTTGAACGAGAGCTGAGAAAACATCCCTCTGTGCAGAGGCGGGGGACAGGGAGCACGGAGTACTGCATGCACGGCCAATGGCCTTTTGTTCTTTCTAAGCCCCAAGACAGAGGGGCACTCGCTAGAAGAGCATTCAGAAATGAATATAAAATGAAAACATTAGGCAGAAGTAAAAATAAGATGAAAGAATGGAAAGGCTTTACGGTGGAAAGAACTGCCTTAAAAATAGGATGACGTTTCTTTAAAGGAATAAAAGGACTTTACACATCGATCTAGTCATGAATTCTGAGTAACAGCTCCTTTGAAAAAGTGGCATTTAAGGATGTCCTTCACAATTAAACATGTTCAAAGAAAAATCTTTCCAGAAAGGCAAATACTAAAGAATGTTCACCATTCCTAAAACTTTAAAGAACTCACATGGTCCCATGAAGTCTAGAATTAAATAGAGCATTAAATTAAGAGATCCAACCAGACGCATGCACTAAAAATGGTTTTAAGCTCTGTATATTTTACACATTATCAAGAAATGTATGTGACGGTATGTCTATGGTTTGTCAGAAGTGTAACTTACCCCTGTTTTATCACACAAGCGTAAAGTATGGAATGATCCCACAGCAAATAATTCTCCATCCGGAGCCCAGGCAACTGAGGTAATAGGATGCTCATGAGGCTGTGAGCTGTAGAACAGACGGCCATAACTATCCCACACCTGTCAAAAACAAGTAACCAAGTCCGTTTTTTCATATTAACCACCCCCCCATCCTGACAAATGTAAGTACTATTCCTATCAGTTATCAAGTTAAGCTTTAGAAACAATGTTATCTTTTTATAAAACTCATATTTCTCAATAGATTTTATAACACATGTAAGAAATAAACAGGTGGAGCCAATTACATTCCGTGGGATGTTTTAAAAAATGCCAAATGTTAAAAATATGGGAATATTTCATGACAGGAAAAAAAATCATTTTACTAAAAAGGTTCAAAAGCATGAAGAATTAGAAATACCTCGTATAAATTTAACTGTTATTATGAATGAAAGCTATCTTGAAAGAAAAGAAAGCCCCTTTAAATTTGGTTATAATCTCTTTTTTTAATGTTCAATTTGATGCTTAAAATGTTCATTTCTCTTACTTAATAAAAACTCTGTCAATGGTCTTTTATTTTGATTACTTTTCCTCTAATTATACATAAAGTCAGTCTTCTCCACCACCCATTTATTCTTGTCAAAAGCTAAAAGTTTCCTTATGTTTACTGTCTCAGTGGGTTTGACTTTAATAACACAAATGTACTGATTTAAACAGTAACTAAAAATGGAAACAGTAATTACACTGCTATTTTATTAGGCCAATTTTTTACATCAATAAGATTGTGAATATAAATTAGGCATTTTGAGAGGTGCTGCTAAGGTAATACTTACAACAGCATGGAACAGAATTTCACTCAGTTATTAAAGTTATATGGTATGGTTAAAGTGAGGACCTTTAAGGATGATTTCATGTTCAAAATATTTTGATATATTAAATATTTCCAATTCTATGATGAAGTTAATTGTTACACACCTTATATTTACAGTCTTCACCAGCAGACAAGATCAGGTCATTGACTGAGTTCCAATCCACTTTCAAAATAATTCCATCATGAGCCTTCCACTGTGAAAAAAATAAGAGATTTATAACTTTAAGAAAAGGGTGATGGATAGTTTCCAAAATGGCTTATTTTGCAGATTAGTCATCTTGCTAAAAGAAAAAACGGGAAAAGAACAAGGTTCTCCCTAGCTCCTTTCTGTCTATGGTCCTCTTGGCTTGTCTCCCCATCCATGTCCACCATGGTCCACATTTGTAAAAAGGCTGTCACCCACTCAGGAATGCTGATTCATACGGCACGCACCATAAGTGGCACCCTGGATCAAACCACAAAGGCCTTTCGTTTTCTCCAGAACAGGCCAAGTGTGGGAGTAGATCAAAAGGGATGCTTTCTGTGGACGACAGGGCAAGGAACTGTTGAGCCAAACTCCCTCAAGGAGCAGAGCCTCCAAAACGAAGCCGGTGATCCTAGGTCTGGCAGGGTTGGTGGTGTTGAGACTTCCAGAAAAGGGTTGTAGCTAACAGCACTGCTATGGGACCTGTCTTCTGGAAGTACCGGAATAAGGCAGGAGTCAAGTGAGAGAAGAGCTCAATAACTAGACTCTCCTCTATGTCACTTGTGGCCAGATCAAAGTAATGGGAAGAATAAAGGACAAACATTTCTCTTTCATGCAGGCTGGCTGTCAATGGGCTGAACACACCCACAGGCAGCAACCCTCGGGCCTCGGTTCTGTCAGAGGGACACCAGGCCCCAGAGCAGGCATTTCTCCCCTTGTGGCCCTCCTCTTCTCTCTCATTTGGTAGATCAATCACCTATACCTTGTGATTCATTTTCTCTACTTCATTTCTTGTCTCTTTTCCTTATTTCTGAGCATAATCTCTTCCATTTTTTTCTTCTTTGCTGACTTTTTTATCCTCATGCCTGGAGCCTTGGAGCTCTCAGGCCACTGGACACAGCCTCTATAATAAATCACCACTCTTCTTGCAAGAATGTTGTTGTGGCAATGTTTCAGGCTTAAGTACTGTAAAGTAGCTATCTCAACTGCACAGGCCATAAGTCTGCATATATCTTCCCTATGTAGTCCACATACATTTCAGTCTTATGTGATCAATAAACAGTTTCCATCTTTCAAGATATGTGTGTGTTTTACTGGGGCTCGCTCTATGAAAAGGGCCATTTTGCCAAGCGTCAAGCCCTCAGAAATGATGAGGAAACTGGGGGAGACCCCACCGCAAGGCCTGCTCATGGGGCCCTTTCATCTCCCTACTGAGACAGCTCTTTATCAGTTCATCCATCTCATTGGTCTTGCTCAGCCTCTTCCTCCTGCTATTTCATCCATTTAAACACTGTCTAAGCGCTGCTTTGGTGCTAAGGGAGGTACAAAAATAAATACAAAACATCACCTGTAGGCAGGGAGCTCCAAAGTGAATGGGCCAGCCTTCCTGTCTTCTCTCCTCACACATTTCTGCTCCTCACACCCTTCTCAGAGCGCCCACTCCATCAGCGGCTCTTTGCTCTTCACTCCCTAACGTCACAACCTTGACTCAACTCCACAGACGAGTAAAGGTTTCTGACTATCACCCCCAGCCCCCCACGTAGTAATGAAAGACCACCTACATAGTACCAAACAAGGGAGTGATCTTTTATAGGAAGAGTAAGGTTTAAAGTCAGCATATAAGGTGAAAGTCTCACATACTCAAAATGACTTGAAAATCCCTTGGAGCACTGATTTTTAAAAATATAGCATCTTTAAACAGCTTTAGCCAGGAAAGAAGCTAGGTTTTCTTTAAAAGGAGGCCATCTCTATCAGAGAGCAGCCAGAGTTGAGATTGCAGCTGTGGAAGCAATGGGATGGAAATCACTGCTGACAACCTTCAGCTAAGTTACAGATCCCACGAGCAGAGGTGGGAACCAGAGCTTCCATTCAAAGGAAAGCAAATGAAAAACAGGCAAAGCCATAACTTGCAGGAGAACTGGGGATTAGGCATGGGAAACCCTTGGAAGGCCTTCACACATCCGTGTGACTGGGCTGGGAGGGTGTCTATGCCTCTCACTGATTTTCCTGCCTATTTTACCATAAGGCCCAGAGGACCCAAGGCAGTCAAAGGGACTCCCTTTGACAGGAGCTGTCTCATTGGCCAGGAATGCCAGGTGGGCTAACCACAATCACTGCCCTCCTTAGCTCAACTAGCCTCAGAAAGTGTCATACACAACCAGTGAGCATCACTCTACACAAGGAGAAAGTGGTGTGTTTGTATGTGTGTGCATGTGTGTGTCTATTGATAGATAGCTAGACAGACACACACATGCACACACACATATATCTCTCCATGGCCCCTTTGGCTGATACGTACACACACACACACACACACACACACACACACACACACACATATATGTGTGTATATATATATATATATGCATGCATGTATGTATGTGTGCATGTGTGTAAAAAATACACACACACATACATACATACATACATACGTATATAAATAAAAGAATCTTAACTAATTAACATTTTCAAATGATGGGCTTTTTTTTTTGCAAATTTGCATATTTCTAAAGCTATTAAAGCTTCAAGCTGCACTAAGCCATTGAGGACCCCCACATACTCAAATGTTCTCTTCCTCCAAGGAAGTTTGGGCAGAGTCGCCACGCTAAAGAAGGGCTTCTTCAAAAAGACTAAGTCATCTCACCATTAAATACCTTGGTGAAGCCACTTCATGTCACATCAACCCTGATTTCAAGACAATAGGTCGGCTCTCCATAGGATCTTTTAAATAGGAAAGCATTTTCCAAATCCAAGTAAACATTAAGCTAGACACAGTCCTGGAATACAGCCAGGCATAAAAGAAAAAAATACCAAGCTCCCACTTCAAAGCACACTTTCAGTAACATCCCAGGAAATCAGCTCCCAAAGGGTGTTGGCCAACTCCAAGAACTGCAATGGCTACGGTATACATGAGCTCACCCTCCACTGGCGCAGCCTCTACCTAACTGCGTTTCCTAATCTGCTCAAAGCCTTGTTCATGTCCCTCCATTAGAAAGCAAACACTGAGAAAGACTTTTTTTAAACACAAATGTTTTGATATTGCATTTTAAAAACTATGATGTGTATAATAAACTGTCACACTAGCTAAACATCCCAACATTATTTATAAGGGGAAAACAGAAGAATAAAAACAATGGTTCTCATTATAAATTAGTTGTAGAGCTACAAAACAATTTTCTCAAGTTAAAATCAGATTAATAAAAACATGGTTTATATTTTCCTAAAACTGCATTTTAAGTTTGTCTATTTACAAAGAGATGCAGCTCAACTGGCCTCTTCCGCATGAAGCCTTTCCTGATCCCCCCAACTTCTTCTTGTATTTCACTGCTTGGTCCAGACCGGCATTTACGTACTTCATACTCGGGCAGCACACATCTCTGACTAAAAAGCACACAGCTCACTACCAGCAGGCACTGTTTCACTCTCTCTTTGTATCTCGAGTCCAGACAGTGCTTGGCACACAGTAGGTGATTAAACAGACTTGCTGACTGAATGCTCCATGTATTATCTATCTTGACACTATGCTGTTAACATGGTGATATTAGAGGCTACAACACCACACCTGAAAATACTTAACACATTAGGATTTCTGCCTGCCAGAGGCTCAGCATAGTCAGTAGCTACCAACAGCTATGACGACAGCATGCAGGAATCCTAGGCAAGCTTTGCTGGAAATTTCTTATGCGAGTCTATTTTGCAGCATCCTAACTCAAGCCTATTTTTGTCAAGAACCCCCCAGGCCAAACTGTCAGAGATTTGTGAACTGAAACACCATTCAGTTATAGTTTACTACCATCATGAGAGGGAGTGTAAGAGAAAACCAGAGCCAGCAGCATCTGTTCCTACAATGAAGGCTACTGAAAGATCGCAATCAAGTGGCCATCCTGCAGACGTAAAGACAGCACCCACAAGGACTGTAGAGCAGCAACCAATGGCTCTTGGCCCAGCAGTCCAGGCAAGGCTTCCCTGGAGTTCTACTGTTATCTAAACAGTACCTGTAAAATTTTAGCATTTGGCTGAAGAGGCTTAATAATTAGCTGCTTCCCTGCTGTATAAAGGACCTTTTCTGAATCAGGGCCCCATGCTACCGAGTAGACCGGTGTGCCTGTAGGAAGAAAGAAAATAACAGTGATGAGGGCTTGGGGGATTTTTTGGTTATACCCATAAAACAAGACTACTCATAATTGCAAAGTTGTGGTGGGGAAAAAAAACAACCAATGGTGCTGTCAGTATTCCTTCCATTTCCGTGGCACCTTTCAAACTGGCCTCTATCCTACTTTTGATGTAGGTCCTTCTAGAATGGACAAGTGACAATCTACCCCTAGCATCTGACTGATGACAAGTATCTGAATGATTCCTACTGGGCTCAGAGAGCCCAAAGATTTACTCGAGATTTTGAGATTCCCGATGAAATTGTCGAAACTAAATTATGTTCAATTTGATGAGAATCCAAAGAATGCTGTTGGAATGACTGTTCATCCATCCCAACCTACCACACAGAGCAGGACGTAATGCTTCTGTGAAAACATCGAGGTGACCTAAACTCACCATACAGGTGGGTTCTCCTGCGGCTGTTGCTTTCAGGGGCACAGGGCAGTAGCACTTCTCCCAACCTTCTTCTAATGAGTAGAGATCGCCACCCCATTCTCCTCCCACTCCCAATTCATGAGCAGCTGCTTCAAATAACAGAAGTGAGTTTTGCTCCCCATGAGCTCTACCTTTTAGACTGGGTTGGGGGCTCCAGGGAGGTCTCAGTGACAAATATTACCCCTGTGTAAGTCAACCCTACTTCAAAGAAAAGAGCTTTGATTTGGGTTGTTTTGTTTGTTTTAACATTAAAAGATAACCAGTAAACTCTCTTTTGGTTCTAAAATTCTATGCTCTATATACTATGATCTAGTAAATCTGATTTCTATGTATTCCCATTGGAGGCTTTATGACTGTACTTCATAGAAGAGTCCTTACAAAGTCTCCCTCACTGAGCCCCTTCCAACCTCTCCATCTTCTGTGTCCAGGGACACTGGCCTGTGTCTCTGCCCCTCCCCATCTCCCACCTGTGACCTTTTACGTGCTGTTCCCTGTGCCCAGAATGCTCGCCCTCTCCCCTCCCCTCCCACCTTGCTTCCTTCAGCTTTCCCCCAAGTTCCATCTTCTGCCCCCTTTGATGTCAGTGCCTTCCTCCCCTCAGAGACGATCTTCCAAACATGGTGCCCCTCCCTCTCTTTGGAGGTAAGGGCGGTGGTCTCTCCTGGTATCCCCAGTGTACAGCACAGTACAGCCTGGCACAGAGCAGGCACTGATAAAGGCTCCTTGACTGAACTGGTCAACCTATTACTTTCTCAATTACCTAGTGGATTTAGTTGGAGCTGAGATGTATGCAGAACTAAAAAAATAAACTAAGAGACCCAGGTGATTTAAAAATATATATATATCACATTTGCTGGAAGGATATTCAGCATCGAGTTAGCTAGTGTACCTCCAAAGTCTACCTTTGCTACTTGTGCGTTAGGAGGTTGATTCAAGGTATCATATATAACATATAAAACCTTAAATTGTATTATAAAGCTGGGTTTTTGGAAACTGTCCAGAACTCTTTAATGATTACTAAATATGAATATGAGGGTAGGAAAATAGACCATTCTCTTTCATGCACAATACCTCTAAGTCTCTTTACTTTTGGCTAAATGAAATGATAGAGTTTTGGGACTTTCTGGCCAAATTACAAGACTAAAACGTGTAGCGGGGCTTAATCACATGGAGGGGTCAGCTGACAACTGAACAAACAAGGAAGAGAATGTAACAGGACAAAGGCTTTAAGCTGGTACCCCACCTCTCTCCCCCTCTCAGTAACCCTCGCCCTTTCCTAGAGCCACAAGGCCAGTCCAAATATGGGGAGGGGGGAACCCTGAACATACAGATTCTGAGGTCCCCCAAAGCTATCTCCCTTATGGGCCCAATGGCATATTCCACCTTAGAATACTTCTCTAGCAATTTTAGGATTCATTCACCCCAATTCTTGGGATGAAACTCTTAAGTCTTTTCCACAATCCAGGCATTCTCCCAATCTAAGAGTGTACTGAATGCTTTATAGGGTTCTATTGTTCCACTAAGTAACTAATGATTCAGGTAACTAGGCAGCTTCCTTCCTGCACAACTATGGCAAATGGGACACAGAACACTACTACATACAATTAAAGGAATTCCTCACCAACAGAATACAATTGCTCTCTGAAAGTAGACAGAGAGAAGTTCCATTGGAAGCAGCACTTATAAAAGTTGGTTTATACCTCTAATTAAAATGTTGTCTCTGTGTGTCCATCACAAAGGAGACTGGTTGGCTAGAAGATCTTCCAAGCCATAAATGACGGGTTCAAAGACTACGAACCCATCTGCCTCACTGAAGGTATTTTTCTGGCTAAAGCCACTGAAAAGTCTCTGGCTCACCAGACTGGGAACGCCCTGACTCTTCAAAGAGCATGACAAAAATTGGAGCAATTGATTTCAACAGTCATCTCAGAGTGAAAGAAGACTATGGGAGAAGGAAGGTAATGGCTGCAGAGCAGATGGGGTGAAGTCAAGAAGAGAAGGATGTAGTAGATGGAATAAGAAGTTATCAGAATGGAGAAAAGAAAGAAGGGAATAAGGAAGTATAGTCACGGTTTGGAGCAGTGGCTGACAAACTCTGGCACTAGGACCAAATCCTGTCCAAAATAACTGAGAATTGTCTGACAATGGTTTTGACATACAGCTGATGCTATTCAGTCCTTTTCTGGTTGTGTCTAACTTTTCTTGACACTATTTGTGGCTTTCTTGGCAAAGACACTGGACTGGCTTGCCATTTCCTTCTCCAGCTCCTTTTATCAATGAGGAACTGAGGCAAACAGGGTTAAGTGACTTGGCCAGGGTCACACAGATAGCCTCTGGGGCCAGATTTGAACTCAGGAAGATAAGTCTTCCTGTCTTCAGGGCTTGGCACCCTACCCACTGTGCCACCCAGCTGCCCCTTTAAATATAATAAAACTTTAAAAATTCTAATTCTAGGGCTGTACAAAAACAGACAGAAGTCAAAACCAAAGACTAGATGCCCTGCCTATCTAAGGAAGCCTAGACCAGGCTAGACAGCACTTCTAAGTCCAGGCCATGACCCTCAGGATTACCTTCTATGACCTCCCTGGGATCAGGACATCCTGGCAGCAGGGACAAAATCGGTGCCAGGCTTCACACCAGCAGCCCTCCCTTATCTATCTGACAGACTTGTTCTGACCTACACATGACTCTTTGCAAAGGAAGGGCTAGGAGCTCAGCAGGCTTTCAAAGGGGATGCACCAATGTAAGAATTACATTCTGTCAGACTTCCCAGAAGACACAAATCAACATGTTAGATATTTAAAATGCAATGTTCACACATAAAATTAGATAAAAACAATTAGACTATATCATGGTGACAAAAAGTGAGCTTGTGAACATCAGTGCCTGAGTCTCATCAAGCACTTCTCCGTGGGCCCACGCACAGTGTTGACAAAGCACCTGCACAAAGAAAGTTTCCTCAAACGCCTCCCCCACTGCAGGAGCCACAAAACGAATGCAGCCCTTCAGGTGCGATGAAAGGTCTGGCCCAGTGCGGGAAGAGGAGGGAGAGAGGCAAATTTACTTTCAATTTACCTTTGACAGGTTATAGTCGGCATTGGCCCCATTTACCCAATTCACAAATTTCTAGCAGTTTATGCCATCTTTCATGACACTGTGAGAATTAATTTCATGACTATGAATCTTGGGGAAAAAAATGTTCTGAGCAAAAGGTCACAGCATAACTTAGGTACAAAAGCAAATAACCTACAGAGGAAAAAGATCTGGGATTCTGTTAGGACATTCCCACGTGTCTTCCCTAGAGCACGAAGACTCAGCACTCACTGACAGGAAACGCAAGGAAAAAGGGGAGACATTCTGGCTCCCTGTTACTATACCATATCCATTACACAACGTCCAGTGACCTTCCAGAAAAGCGCTGGCTACATCCTAATGCTGAAAACCCACATTTATAGAACACCTACAAACTGACAACATGCTTGTGAGGTAGGGTGTGGTGTCACTGCCGCCATTTTCCAGAGAAGGAGTCTGGGGCACAATGGGCCTGAGAGTGATGAGACTTCAGAATTGGATCCCAGCTCCAGTCTTCTGACTCCACAGCCAGTGCTCCTCCCACTATGCCCATTAGCATGATTCTACACTTTAAGGAGCATCGAGTTAAAAAGTTAGCCCCTCATACCCATGAGCAAAGATAGATTTTAGATAAAAAATAGCAATGAAAGTTGCACCTCAGGTGGCAACATTGAAGAGAGTCATTTCAAAGACAGTGAGATATCTTTAGATAATTATATATATATATATGTGTGTGTGTGTGTGTGTGTGTATATATATGTACACATATATATATATACTATAAAGCTAATTTCTAACTCAATAGAAATTTAACTCTCAAAAATGAGAAACTGACCTATAATTTTTCTTTAAAATATCATATTCCCAATTTCATCATATAATGAAAAAATGATCAGATTTTCATATTAACTTGCTAAACTATTGTTTATAGTAACCAGATACTGTCATTCTGAAGGAAAACTAGTAGACATTTATTAAAAAAATCATTAAAATTTTTCTTGATTTTTTGGGGGGGTATTAGGAATTTTTTTGGGGGGGGTTATGTTCCATTTCAGTTAAGACACTTAACTAGATCTTGTTTTTCTAACTTTGTACACTAAAATCATGTGATCTTTTTGACATTTTTTAAGAAACCACATGCACCTGGGGTTGGGTTAAATGTCAGACCCTTATCTCTCTGTAAAACAAATTATCTAAATTCTTTCAACCTGTTGAAGGCATTTTAAACCACAGGAGTGGAGGCAAAAAAATGTATTTCAGTTGTTTTAAGGAAGTACATAACTCAAATATACGTGTTTTTCACATCCACGCTATAAAGAGAAAGCCCCCAATTTTTTTTTCAGTTTTGTATACAATAAGACATACCATGAAGTACTTTTCAGTCTTTAATGCAATATCCTTTATTATGTGCTATTGCTTAATAATGCATATTTATTTATCCTAGAG